GTGAAAATGCTGTACTCTGCGTTTTAATTATAAAAATGTATTTTGAGCATTTTGGAGTTTCCCTTCTCTGTATTGACCTTACGGCACTAAAAGGGGGACAGCATATGACAGCATATTAGTCCTGTTAGGTAGTTGTAAAGCGCACAGAGCATGCTGTTGAGGGTGGATATGCGTTAAAATAAATCCAAATATTACTATTATTATTATTATTATTACTATTATTGTTATAAACATGTGAGGCATCGTGGTGAAATCAGGCGCGCGTCAAAATATTGAGATCCAAGAAATCGGCATTTTAGTGCCAGTTTGGACATTTTTAAAAAAATTTTATGTTTGCCTCAACACCTTGTATGTCCATTCAAAAACGGTTTTAATGATTGAATTTTATGGAAAGACATTGATTAAAGGCACAACATATTTAAATTTGCAGTTTCCAAAGACTCTTAAGCTATGAAAGTCACCGAACTTTAGCGGCCATTTACTCGCCAATTTTATCTCTGAAACCAAGTGACCCTACCTCCTTCAATGGCAAATATCTCGTCTTCTATTCAAGATAAATAGATATTTTTTTATCTATAGCAAGGCAAAAGAACTACCTTTAAAAAGATACCAATAACTCCATTCCTAAAAATTGACAAGCGCCTGATTCCAGTGCGTCCCAAAATTGACAAGCGCCTGATTCTAGTGCGTCCAAAAATCGACAAGTGCCTGATTTCAGTGCGTCCCAAAATTGACAAGCGCCTGATTTCAGTGCGTCCAAAAATTGACAAGCGCCTGATTCTAGTGCATTCAAAATTGACAAGCGCCTGATTCTAGTGCATTCAAAAATTGACAAGCGCCTGCTTCCAGTGCGTCGTGACACATATTATTGTTCCCCTGTCAGGCGAGATCGAGGTCCAGCTCCAGGAGGACAACGGCTACATCCAGCTGTACGGGGTGTCCGTGACATCACAGGACGAGCACGGATCTCCCCCCTGCCCCTGCTTCACCGATCCCGAAGACGATGCGGAATGTAAGGGTCACTGCTGTCCGGATGCCACACCCCCCGGTCGACCGGCAGACTCCAGCAGCCCTAGCGAAGGGGACGGGCATGATAAGGACAGGTCTGTGGATGGGGCATGCTGGTTGACGGAATAACTGGAAGCATGACTGATTAGTCGATGGATTGATTTATTGAATGATTGATTGATTGAATGACTGATTCTTCTATGGATTGGTTGAACAACAGCTTGATTTATTGATTGATTGATCTGTGGATTGAGTGATTGAATGACAGATTGATCAACTGAATTTTTTGCCAATGGATTGATTGACTATAAATTAAATGTCTCATGTCATCATTGACACTGTAATTAATTTAGGACGCGAGTTACTTCAGCCATGCCTGTCAAGACCACCTGGGGCTGAATGAGATACAACGTCCCAAAGAGACAGACAAGAATACTTTTTTTTTTTTTGGTCCCATGCCCATTTCTGTCTAATTGACGCCATTTCTGATTAGTAGAAAAGTTGCGCATGATAGTATTTGGTATCACCTACATAATTATTGTAATATGTCAACCCAATTTATCATGACAAGACATGAATACTCAATAAAATAATTGCCACACCTGGGAATAGACTTCCGGAAGACCTCACCATTACTCCACATATGTTACTGGATGGTGACACTTCACTAACGTAACATTAACTCTTACTGTGCGGAAGTCTGTTCTCACCTTCGAACGCAACCAACTTTGTAATCCAGTATTTCTGCCTCACATACGTTGCTTCAACTTCACTCCTACCTTACCTATTCGCATAAAAATTTCTAAGTGTTCTGGGGTTTGCTAGGATGATAATAGTTGTTTGACGCATAGAGTATGGTGTAGAACATGGATGTGCTCTATATAAAGGCCGTTACTTATGGTGATGATGATGATGATTGCTATTATTATTATTATAATTATTTATTATTTCCATTATTATTATTATCTTATTGTTGAAAAGAATATTTTTCCTTCACACTAGACTCAAACCAATCTGTCCTCCACACCCACACCCCTAATACCCCCCACCCCCAACCCCACCCAACTACAGGTCATGTGTGATCCGTGTGCTAAGTAGTGGCAGTTACGAGGTGTGTCCGAGCACGGAGGAGATGTTCTACACCAAGACCTCCAGCCCTCAGCACCCGAGTACTCAGAGTTTGAATCCTTGGAGCCTCAAGAACCACAAGAGACTGCTGGACAAGATGAGAAAGTCTGAGCACAGTCACAACCGTGTGCGTATCCTTGACCCCGTGACCTAGCTTGGCTTTGACCCTGGCAGTGTAGTTTTAGTCTGAGTTTTTATGGCATTTGCAACACTGGAAGATTAGAAGTGTTGCAGTATTGTAATATTGAAAATAAAAAAGAAGGAGCGATAAGGATGGTAGAAGTTTTAAAGGAAAAAAGGAACAGACCACACCAGAGCACCTCCCAACCACCCACTCCCCGGTTGTGATTCAGCTGTGGTAGACAATCATGGTTGATTGAGTGTAAATGTTCTACACTACCTACCCATCATTTCAATTTAGATTAGTATAGAGGCAGTCGGAAATTTGTGAACATTCCTCATCTCCAAATGTTGGAAGATGTAGTGTACTCCAGTCCATATGTCAAAATTATATACCCCTTCTCCCCCCCACTTATCAACTTACCTTAAAGCATTTAGGACATGGACTTCTTCCACTGTAATGGCCGACCCATGCCAAGAGGGATACAACATCAGACAGACAGATATTTGGTTTTAAAAAAAACAAAAACAACAAAGACTTCCTCACTTCGGATTGAATGAATCTACATCTTCTGCTGCATGTGACAGCAAAGTGCCTATCCACCACACCACAGATATCCTGGCTATGATCCAGCAGCTGTGATTCAGAATGAATGGTGGATTAATAGTCAACATTGCACTTTGGTTATTTTATTAGCTTCTTTGTCTTTCCAGTATTTTCATGGGTTGTTGACAGTGTTCTGGTGTGGTTTGCCACCTTTTTCCTATCAATCTTTTGTTCTTATCTCACCGTCTTTTGTGTGTGTGTGTGTGTGTAATCTATTTGTGTTGCAAGTGCAGTAAAACTTACTAATAGAGGTACTGATATTAGTAAACTAACATTTTCCCATCCCACAATAACCATTATTGTCTTGATGTGCACTCTTTACTCTAAAAAACACCCACCAAAAACCTCCTTGACCAAAGTCCAGGTTTCATCCTGCTGAAGAACGTAGTGGCAGGCTTTGACCACCCGTGTATATTGGACCTGAAGATCGGCTCTCGACTCCACGCCGATGACGCCTCCAACAAGAAAGTGGCGAGTCAATCACGGAAATGTCGGGAGACGACATCCAGCTCTCTCGGTGTCAGACTCTGTGGCATGCAGGTAACTACACACACTGGCATTCATGCTCGTGGACATGCGCTTGTACACACGGAAGCACTCACACACACACTTGTACACACACACACACACACACACACACACACACACACACACACACACACACACTACTCAGTTGTGGAAATATTTGGAGACTTTCTACAGCACTCTGGGTGCCAGACTTTGTGGCATGCAGGTAACTACACACAACGGCACAGGCGCACACTCGTACACACACACACACACACACACACACACACACACACACACACACACACACAAACTTCTTATCTCTATCGCTCTCCCTTCCTCACAAACACACGATCACACATAAACCCATAAACAAGCTCTGATAGGTAAATATTCCTACAAATATAAAACATGCACGCACACACGTACACACAAAAAAGAAATGTTTGTAAACACGCTCACTCATACCGTGTGGTTAAGAGAATGCTACATGTAGATCCTACTTTTTTCTGTCCGTCTGTCTTAACCATTTGAGCCCTGACTCTGCTGACCCTAGAATACCCCCTGCCTGGCCTCGTCGGCCATTTTAAGGAAGTTTCACATGGGTCACAACAAATAGACCAGATAACAAATACATCACACACAATAACAAAATATCCACACAGAAACTAATCAGAGTTGCCTACCTCACATCTAGAGCTAGAGAATAGTTTTTTGCTCACATGTTTAGGCCTAGAAGTAGAAGGGCCTGGCTGAGGCTCACTTGGATCCGTGATTCCCAGACCGGTGAAAGGGTTTATCGGACTACACATCGAAAAAGTTACGGACCGGTCAAAGGGTTTCTCCGGCTCTAAGAGTTACTGTATATATAAAAATATGAACACATAATGTGAAATAGAATACAGGCACACATTCGTGCACACTCGTCTTTATCTCCCCTCCTTCTTTTTTGTGTTTGTTACTTTCTTGTAACTCCTCTAGTCTTTTGCACTTATATGACCTTATTGTGTTGCAAGTGCCGTAAAACACTTACTAAAACAAAACACACACACACACAAATGTTTACTTATCCTTTTAACATTTTGGTTGGTGGTTGGCAGGCGCTCTGGTGTGGTTTGCTCCTTCTTTCCTATCAAACATATATCGTCCTTATCTCTCCTCCTTCTTCCTTTATCTCTTTATGTATAATTGTCTAGTATCACCTGTAATCTTGCATTTATATGACCTATTAGTGTTGCAAGTGCCATAAAACTCTTACAAAAAATAGACTCACTCTGAAAACTGTGCATGTCTCTGGCCACAGGTGTACCAGACCAGCTCTGGAATCTACAAAAACTACGACAAGTTCCATGGCCGTACTCTCACAGACGCCTCTTTCAAGGCCATGCTGTACGAATTTCTGCACAACGGACAGCGATTCCGCTCAGAGCTTCTTCGGCCAATCATACGCCGGCTGTCTCAGCTGATCAGCTGTCTGGGGGACCTGTCCTCATACCGCTTCTACGCCAGTTCCCTCCTGATCATCTACGATGGTAACGTCAACGACAACGATACTTTCTGTGACTCGGTAGAGAACTCTCAAGGTCTCAACAATGTAAATAATCACGACGTTATACGGAGTAGTAGTCATGGGATGAATGCTAAAAACAAATCACAGAGCACACATGACGGAAAAGATTTCAGCTCTATTTCAGATTTTAATCTGAATTTGGAGGAGTCATCAGAAAATCAGTTTTCTGTGTCAGAGAGTAGAAAGCATGAGTGGAGTCATGACGGCATATCGTTTTCACATTACGACACTTTGAAGTCACATAACAATACATCACCCCCTCGTGTCAACATATCACCCTCACAGGATGCTCAAATTTCTCTATCAGGTCTTCCCCCTAAGGTGAGGTGCCCAGAGAACGGCTCCAAAATGTCTGCCTTATCCTCCGGCTTTTACAAATGTGCTCTCTCGAATTCTTCCTCTCCATCAGAGTCCTCACAAAAAACTCTATGCTCATCACGCAGTTGTAGAAATTCATCTGCACAGACACACACACATGAACACCCTCTCCCCTCCACACAGAAAGCTGCAGACATACACTCTCACTCCTCTGCCGCTCAGGAAGAAAGACACCAGAAATTATCAGACTTAACTCATAAAGGTTCTGGTGTTGTTACTACCGAGCCCTCACAAACTGGAGTCAACCCAGAGTCCCAGAGTTATAATCTGTCTTCTAGTCTTGTGGAATCGTGTACGTATGTTGTAAATTCTGGGGATGATCATGCATCACGAGGAAAGAAAAGGTCTGACATATGTTGTACAGACCAGATTAACAACCGGTCAAGTTGGGAGGGAAACAGAGGTCATGTTGTGACCAAATCTGACTCGCCTTCCGAACTTCACGGTGCATCTCCTGGGATAGCTTCACATTCCACAAACAGTGGCTGGTCACAGAGAAAACCGAGTGAAAAACTTGCAGCACATTATGACGACGGTGCGCCTCGCTTGACACCGAAACACATACAATCATGTGTACAGCACCCCAACAAAACTTTACGCACAGGACAACACACCAAAATGCCATCGCAAAGAGACACACCGTCATCACCAAATGGCTGCAGCCCTTCTGTCTGTCCGAAACAGGGATCACGCGTTTCCCCATCCGAGGAAACCCACCAGAACTTGCACACCCAACCTGAAGCTGAAGGAGATGCTGCCTTTCTCCCTCGACACACGCACACTTTTTATCCAGGGGATGTGCAAAATAGCAACACTAAGGTTCCCACAAGGGTAAATGATTCTCAAAGCTCTCGTGTCCAAGATGCCTTCCGTAGAGGAGAAAGTTGTCTTATACCTACAACAGCCAATAACGGTGTTGATTGTGATGTTGTGCATGAACAAAATCTTGTGTCACCCTCTTCCCCAGTCCGTACACCAATCCACAATGTAAATACACACGATACCAAAATTACATACACTGCTAATTTGCCGAGTGATAATGAAAAATTAATGGACAAAAAAGGAAAATTAAAAGAGTGTGATAAAGAATGTGATAAAGATGAGGAAAGGTTTTCCTCAAGTGGGAGTGTGCTGATGGATGTGAGGATGATTGACTTTGCCCACACAACGCACAGAGGGTTTGTCCAGGACAAGTGTAAGCATACAGGGCCGGACAGAGACTATGTGAACGGACTGAAGAATCTGGTCAGACTCTTCCTGGAACTAGAGGCTGAAAACTGAGACGCGTGTGTGCTTGTGCTTTGATGTGTGTTTGTGTGCGTGTGCGTGTGTGTGTGTGTGTGTGTGCGTGTGTGTCTGTATGTGTGTTCTTGCTAAAATGTGCATTTAGTTACTGTCGTATCATCACACATGTCTTTATGAGTATGTGACAGAGAAAGAGGAACATACATATATATATATATATATATATACATGTATGTGTGTTTATGTGTGTGTGTGCGTGTGCGTGCGTGCGTGCGTGTACACCTGAATGGCCTTATCATTGTGAATGTTTTAGTTTGTGTCATGAAATGGTGTGATGTAAAGAGATCAAGAGACAATTGAAATGTTTTTTAAAAAGGAGAAAAATGCAAGAAAAAAGAGGTAGAGGCCAAGCAAAAATAATTTACATTTTGAACTTGAACTGGTGGATGATGGGAAAAGACTAGAATAGTAAAAGGTTGGGTTTTTTTTTAGAGCATCCATCCAGAAGAATACACGGTGAATCACGATCGATGATATCTGTTTCAAATTTGGTACTTGCATCTGCAAAAATGGCAGAGCATTAAGATAGAGAAAGAAGGTTCTTTTGTATGTGTCTTCATCATTAGGGGTATATTTTTGCATCTGTCTTTGTAATTCTTTGTCCCTAAATTTACATAAAGTCAAGTTTATAATTATGTTAAGACGCTAATCGGGCAGTGATATCTGAATGAAGTTGAAATTCTTCATTTTGCCTACTACTCTACATCAAATCTGACGTTTTTGGGTGTGTTGCATGCACATGGAAGTTTACTGGATGTTTAGTTCTGTTTTTTTGGAATCTTTAGGAATTTCATTGTTCACTGACATCTTTAGTGTAAATGTAAGGCTCTATGCCATCACACATGGAAGACATGAGTTCAGTTCCTAGATGAAGATTGTTTGTCTCTTGTTTTTGTCTGTCTGCTGAGATCATGTTGTTTCCTTCTCAGCCCAGGTCAAACCTGAAGGACAGGTCTGAAGCTGCTCGCCTATTGATTTATCAGAATTTGGTCAATGAGGGTATAAAATTGTTACAATAATAATAAGTACTTTTACATTATTTTTTTATAAAGTGTTGGGGGGGGGGGGGGGTCAAGGCTTATAATTTGTCTTTCACTGTGTCAATGTCCAGTGTACTTTTCTAACTATTTTAACTTTCGGGTTCATTTTTATGTGGGCAAATGATTCCGAAACTTTTTTAATGTGTTTCTTTTGTTTTTTCCACCACAAGAGAATGGTTACAGTGTATTTCTTTACAACAATTTATACTTTGTACAGGTCTTGTGAAACAAGAGTTACAGGGTGGGTGGTTGGCGGGTGCTCTGTTGTGCTCTTTCCTATGAAACATCTATTGTCCTTATCTCGCCTTCTTCTTTTTTATGTTTGTTACTCTCTTGTAACACCTCTAATCTTTTGGTGCACATATGATGACCTTATGCAGTTGCGAGCACCGTAATACCTTTAGCAAAATTAAAGAGTTACAGCGACTGGCGTCTGTGGCGTGGTGGTTAGGAGGTGCTCCACCATCACACTCAGAAGACGTGAGCTCACTTCCCATTTTGGTAGAAGGTTTATCGGGTATCTCCATTTTCTGGGCACTGGGATGTTGTTGTATTTATCTCATGTGCCCAGGCTGGCGCTAAATGGCAGTGTCAGAGCAGCTGGCCTCCAAATGATAATATATTTTAAATTATGACAGTTGGGGCATAAAACACCTACAGTTATAATTACAGATTGCTTTGATTCGTCATCTGTCTTGCACAGATAATTGTACAGTGGACTCGTGTAAAGTGCCTTTCCGGAGGACACAACGTCAGGCCTGTGTCAGGATTCGAACCCATGACTTTACAGTTGGGAGTTTGAGAGCCTAACCACTAGACCACCGATGTCACTATCAGGGTTTATTAGATTTTTCCCTTTACAATTATTATTGTTGTAGTACTGTCGTTTTTCTTTGACTTTGAATCGACCTTTTAGCTCCTAATACTGGAAACCTATAGATTTAAATTTGATAGGGTTGAAGTATAAAGTACACAGGGAATTTGTAGTCATGGGGTTACCATGTTTTACAACTACTAATAGTTTTTTTGCATGCTGTAGTTTTGGAGATTTTATTAACTTTCATAACACATGAATATGATGCTAAGTACTTTCTTTGAGAACTTGAACAGATCAGTGACAGGGAAATAACAGGATGATAATAATAGTTGTTTTTTTAAAAGATTTTTCATTTCTGTTTCAGATCTGGTTCTTGAACAAGAACCAGATTTAATACTGAGGGCACACACAATACAAGCTATTCTACTCACGACCTTGAAAAACAGATGCACTTAATTTTGAAGGTTTCATTCAAATTTAGTTAAATTCAAATGAAGTGTACCAAAATGATAGCTTTTGCCCCATCTGTGAGGGGAAAATCAAATGGATTCAATCAGCAGATTCTGAGGGGCTTTTTTTAAAATAATGATTATTAGTTTTTACTTGTAACTGGGGCAGGGCTTCCCTAGGGATCTGACTTCTTCTGATGAGCTTTTTACTATCTGAACCCAAAGCAGTAAAAGGTCTGGCTTTTTTTGCTCCCGATACTTCTTACATTCCTCAAATTAAAACTAGTAATAGGTAAAAACATGTTCTGAAAGGTCTTGCACGTTTCTTAGAATACAAAAGTCACTTCTTATGACTGGTAGTCTTCTACCTCAAGAGCTAAATCTGAAACAGACATCAACAATCATGATTCGCTTCTGATTTCTCTGCCAACATTCTTTAAAATAAAACTATATTATCCTTGCCCTCCACCACCCTCGCCCCAAATCTGTTTAAGTTCTCTAAGAAGGTTCTTCTTGGTCTACCTCAGCCTCTTTTGCCTTCTGTTTTTCCAGTTCCAGTGAGAGAAACAAGTTCAAAGGCTTTCTGAAGTGTTGAAAGGCCTGCATTTGTCTCTACTCAGTGAATTCTAAAGTTCATTGAAAAAAGATCCAAGAAAATCCAAGTCCACTGTTGCTTTTTAGAATTGTGATTGAGGAGTCTTAGTTTCACTTGTTTGACATGCAAAAACACTGGCTCCAAGAAAAGCATGAGTATACACTTGTTCAAAGAAGTACATTACACCTTGTGATAAAAAAAACCACTCACAAACAAACCTTATGTAGAGTTTGGTTTTTGCTCCTACATGTATTTGTATGGATATATTATTAAGAACTAGTTTGCGCTACATATATCTGAAACATGTATACAATTTTTTAGGCTGTGACTTATGTATATTGTTGTGTTCATATTTATCTATGATCCATGCTTAGCCAACAATGGCATTGTAAATGTGCCTAGAGATGGGTCTTGTTCATCAAGTTTTCAGAATTCCGATGGTATGAATAAAATGTGAGGCATGGCAGTGGAATCAGGCGTTCGTCAAAACAATGAAATCGAAGAAAAATTTTATATTGAATTTTCTTTTTTCAGGCTCAACACCTTTTCTGTCCATGTATCATTACATATTTCTGTATTGATTTTTCTGAAACACATTGACAACAACAACAAATGTAGACTTGCAGTTTCCAAGGACTCTCAAGCTTTGGAAATGGAAGTCCTCAAACTTTGGCAGCCATTTCTTAGCTAATTTTATCTCAGCTACCAGGCGACCCCCACCACCTTTAATGTATATCTCAACTTCTATTCAAGATAGTTGGGTATTTTTTTTCTTCAAAAGCAAGGCAAATGAACAGGCTTTAAGATTATATCAATAACTCCATAGGTCCACAAACAGACAAGCACCTGATTCCACTGCGTTGTGAGACTTAATATTATAATGAGCATCTATTATTATTGTCGACAGTGATTCTGCTTGTGGACTCTGGCATAACGTCAGCACAGCTGTTCAACTGTTCTAAGACGAGAAAGCAACATTTTGCAGGAGAGAGGAAAAACTGTTTCTTTCTTTTGATAATTGCATTAAGGTTATATATCTTTTCTTGCTTTGTTCAACATTAAAAATTTGAATATGTGCTGTTGGTAGGTGCTGTGGTGTGGTTTGCTCCTTTTAAAAATTTTTTAATTAAACATGTGCTAGAGCACATGCAGCTGATACCAGAGATTAAGAAACTGCAGTGAAGAAAAAAAATGTAAATTTTGGGCTTAGTACATCTGAACAGCAGGCTGGCGATAAGTTTAGAGCATGCTAGCAGCTTTAAATGGCCTGTTTTACAAGATGTTTACCGGTATTTATATTTGTGAACTTGTGATCAAACTCCTGCTTTCAGGAGGTTGGCAGGTTGCTTTGGTGTGGTTTGCTTCTTCTTTCCTATCTGACAGCTACCATCCTTGTCTCTCCTCCTTTTCTTTGTGTTCTGTTACTTTCTACTAACATCTCTAATCTTCAGCGCTCATGACCTTTCTTTCTACTAACATCTCTAATCTTCAGCGCTCATGACCTTTCTTTCTACTAACATCTCTAATCTTCAGCGCTCATGACCGTTCTTTCTACTAACATCTCTAATCTTCAGCGCTCATGAACTTTTGTGTGTTGCAAGTGCAGTTAAATTCTTATTGAAACTAAAAACTATAAAAACTCCTTCTTGGTGAGAATGTGGCAAGACTTGTATGTGTAATCTTCTCCCTCCGTCTCTAATCTTCATATCCAATAATTTTTTCTTAAATTTATAAATCTCAGTTCATTTTCTTGGCTTTTCTAGTAATGGATAAATGTTTATCTTGCTAGCAGAGATGCATGATTAGACAGGGTAATAAGTTTGGTTCTTGTGTTTTGAAGTTTTTTATTGAGTATTTCCATTGTCTATTGGGGCTTTGTACATATCCCACTCCACCCAGATTGACCCACACAGACAGGGTGAAGAGGCCCACCTCCCAAATGATCTAAATTGTGTCGATGGTGGTGTAAATCATTTACAATGAATTAAAGAATTAAATGAATATCAAAGAGTTGGTGGTTACATGGGCGGGTGACATTCTTTTGTGGTGTGATCAGTTTGGGGGGGTGTTTGTTGTTCTTCTTGTTTTGTTTTATATTAGATTTCTTTTTGCTTGTTTTGGTTTTTTTCTGAGGCACCTTTCTTTGTTCGATAAATATGAGAGCAGATTTCCAGTTATATTTATATTCAGTTGTTGTTGATTATTCAGATACTTTCTACGTGCTGCAGGACATAAGTAGTGGCAGAATGTGGATGTAGTTTCAGACTTATATTCTGTTTTTATAGTCTTGATTTGTTTTGGGTTTGGATTTTGGTTATTTCAGAGGCTTTTTGAGTTGAGAGGTATTGGTATAGTCTGTTAGAGTGCGGTGATTTTGTTTTTCCAAACTTTCTTGGATTGTTGGATTTTTCATTTTATTGTTTTGTTTCACAGTCACAGTTGGGGGCGTGAAAAGGGGAAAGGGGGGTGGGGGGTGCTACTGCTGTTATATACTTTTACACCA